AAAGAAGGAGCCAAAGTTCCAAAAAAGAAAACCGCTAAAAAGAAAACCGCCAAAAAAAAGACAGCAAAGAAGAAAAGCGCGGCAAAGAAAACCGCTAAGAAAAAGTCGGCATCAAGAAAAAGTAATAAATCGTAAGAGAAAAAGCCTCCACCAGTATTGGCGGAGGCTAAATTAACCATTAAACCTTATGTGAAATCGTTACTATTACTTTTGTCTCTTTCGCCCTTGTGTTTTTTTATTGTACGTTACATGTCCACCATTGAATTCCTGCTCCTCATTCCTGCAACTCCTCGAGCCGGAGTCTATACTGCCGGGCTATAGCAGCCTTCCTTTAACCGACCTCTTGTTTGTTGTTCATGGAAAAAGTGAAAAAATCATACCATTCACTTCCCTTGTAAAACGAGTTTATTCACATGAGTTTTAATACTAACACGGTGAATGAAATGCCTTGTAGAAATTACTACCCGGCTTTCCCGTTAAAGACGCAATTAATCGACTCATATCGGAATTGCATACACTTAAATGGACTGAATTGCTAAGGCACGCTCTTTGCAAAACTTATAACGTACGTTGATTCGATTTTATAATCTTTAAATTTCAGTATTATGGCAACGAGAAGAAATTCAAGAAATGATCAGTCAGACCGTTGGTCTGAAGATCGTGGTCAAAATGACCGTGGACGATATATGGACAATGAACAGGATAATGAATATGGTAGCTCCGGTAGCAACTACCGTAAAACCAGTAGTCGTGGCTGGGAAGAAGAAGATGACGATGACCGATACATGAACAGCGGTCGTGGTTATGGAAACAATCGCTCTGAAGAATTCGACGACGACAATGATGACAATTACTCACGTTCGCGAGGACACAGAGGATACGAAGACGACGATGATTTTGAAGATACCGGTAGCGGGTATGATCAAAGCTGGAGAAACAGCAATTACGATAATGATGACAATGGTCGATATGGATCATCAGGAAGTAACGGTGGAAGTAATTATTCCCGTCGCGGGTTCGGAAGTATGAGCCGTGATCGTTTCGGCAGTGCTGGATATGGTGGCAACATGGGAAAT